TTTGGAGTATTTTACAACATGTAAAGAAAAGTCATCTAGATTAAATAAATTGGTATCAAAACTTGTCGACTATGATTTTGATGTAATTTACAAGAAAGCTTCTTCGCCAGCCATAAAAGCAGTTGACCATTTATCTAGATTCCCAGTAACCGCAATTATAGCCACTTTAGACAAAAATATGCCAATTTCAAATAATGATTTAGCTTTAATATCCACTAATTTTAATTCAGAACAATTAAAGGACCCACGAATTGAGATCATACGAAAGGCTATCATCTCTCCGGAAACAATTTCGGATCGCAATGTTTTTCGCCGAAGCCGTCGCTTTTCACTTAGAAATTATTTAATTTACCTAAATTTGTGGTGTAAAAATCAAGAGTCTTACGCTTTGTATGTGCCCAAATCCTTGATTAATTCTGTTTTGCACCATATCCATGATGACCTAGTTGCGGGATCAGCCCACTTTTCCTTCAAAAAATGCTACGATAGGCTAAAGAGGCATTTCTACTGGCCAACAATGCGGCAAGATTTAGCCATCCACATCTCCCGTTGTCATTCTTGTAACTTAAATAAGCCAGCAAAAGTTAAGTACGGTTTGCTGCAGCCTTTTCCACCGCCATTAACTGGAAAACCTTTTTCTCACATAATTTGTGACTTTCTCGGTCCATCATCAAGTTCGTACGGTCACAAATATATTTTAATTGCCATTTGTACCCTCACCAAATATGCGATTACAAAAGCAACCCATAATGCTGACGCTAACACAGTTGCCAAATTTCTTATAAGTGATGTTATTTCTCAAAAAGGTTTTTTTAGTAAATTTTCAACCGACAGAGGCTCACATTTTGATAATGAGCTTATCACAGAATTGTCTCACCAGAAATTCCAAAAGCACCACAGCACTGCTTACAGACCTCAATCACAAGGCTTAGTGGAGCGGCTTAATCAAACTATCGTAACGATTTTGAAACATGACATAAGTGAATCTAACAAAAATTGGTCAACCATTTTACCTTACAATTCAAATGCACAAGCTTCAACGGGCTATTCCCCATTCTACCTGGTCCATGATGGGTATGAGCCGGACACTTCTCTCACCGCATCCCTAGAACCCCCCAACCCTCCCGTTGATTTATTGGAATCCATCGAACAATTACTAAAAATCAGACATGAAATGCCTGAAATCATAAAAAAAGCCCAGGAGAGGTAGGTACAAAAAACACTATGACAAATCTCATATACCTTTAAATTTAACACCAGGTTCCCAGGTTTATGTAACTCTCTCAAGACCCAGTTCCAAATTATCACCCCTCTATCAAGGCCCTTACATGGTCGTTAAGAAAGTCTCTGACCTCAATTATGAAGTTACTATCCCAATGAGGGGAAAGTTATCAAATGAAATTTTACATGTCTCTCGATTGAAGCCTGTGCCCCCTAAAGCCCAATATGTTACTTCAGTACTTCCATGTCAGAGTATCTCTCGCCAACGCAAATATTCTATTTAATTTTATATTGTAATACTCTCTACATTTTACTTATGGCACCAAATGTAAAGAAATTTTAGCTGTAATAAGGTTCTTTAAACTAAGATTAATTAAAAACCTCATTAACCTTTTAAGCTGTGATATTATCGCTTTTTAATTCTTGTTTCAGAAACTGTTATTTGTACACACTCTTGCTGATCCAGTTTCTGGGAACGATTCTACACTCTGGGAAGACCGCAGACTCCTTTTATCAGCTCAAACTACTCCAGCACCTCAATTCAAGCTGTTAATATGGGCTTATCACTGATTACCTCAACATCATGCAAAGAGTCCTGCTTATCTCAACCTGAACTCATCTTCTTCACAAACAACTCTTAATCTAGATGAATATCTTCCTCTTCACGCTAAATTATCTTGCAATCCGTTGTCAATCAATCTTACCTTATTTTGTAGAATCATCCCCTAGAAACAGTAGATCGTTAACTTGTATCTTATCATAATTGTTAATTGTCAAAGACAGAAAAACAGTCTCATTCTAAAACCATCCTTTATTACGTTTCACTTGCTCACAAAAGCATGCTTAACTTTAACAAAATTTTGCGCTTCAAAAGAAAAACTTAAACTCTCATCCATCTTAGTCGTCGGAGGTCCTCCTCTCCCAACAAGGGGGGATGTCAAGTATAGCGACTCCCTGACGTTGCTTGCCTCTCCTTTGTTCAGTTGGCACGGCTGCTCTGTTGGCCGGGGAAATTTCGAGTTTGCTTTGGAGCATCACTTGAGAAGTTCCCCTGGCCAATCAGAGGAGTGGATTGCTCGGCTGATCACTGGAGGGGGAGCAACGAGTTGGTGAGGAATGTGAGTGCGTTTCGTCGGATTATTCGGTCGGTGTGCTCTGTGAAGTATGGAATAAAAGTTTGTGTCATCGAATCAAATTGGGTTCTCTCTGCTCTCCCACCCGGCTAATCGCCAACCTTAACAGCTATCTCTACTTTTTGGGAGTGAGTGCGGCTCGATTAAGACTGATGTCAGAGACGTAACCTCTGAACCAAGTCCTGACCTCAGTCCCGCTTACCTCGGAGATATCTCTGCACTTATGTAAGTCTTTCTCCCGACGTCAGTGCCTCTTACCTCAGTGCTGACTTCTTGGGTAAGTGCTTTAACACTTACGTCAGAGAAAACTGAACTGACCTCAGAGCAAATTGCACAGACCTCAGTGGAAAATTCACTGGCCTAACACTTGCCATTTTTATCAGGGCATTGAATGTCTCACTTGAGAAACGACCTACAGAAGCATAAAAATACAAAAACTTGCCACATGCGAGCAATCTGCGGGGCGCAGGTGACCTTGAGACTCGGAACATGCAAGGTTTCCGCGCGCCGCGTCAAATTGAAGACTCATATCTCCGCTTCTAATCGTTTCCCTAGATGAACTGGGGATTTTTTTAACCCTTAAACGTTCTACTTTCATTTGGGCTTGTTTTTGTTTTGCCTCGTCAAAACCAATTGACTGAAAATCTTGAAATACGAAAATTTCCGAAAGGGGGACCTTCTTTAATTCCCCCAAAAGTAGGTCAATTTTTGCAAAAGTAATAATTTCATACATGTATTCTGATAGCTCTCATTTTCCTTGAAATTTTGACACCAAGATCATCTTTCTTTGACGTACCGTTGAGAAGTTATGCTACTTTGAAGGTTTTGACTTTGACCCCCTCCCCCCCCTTTTCCCAGGGGGCTAGGCAAAAAATGATAAGACCAGTTTTGAGTGTCTGGGAAGACCCTCTTTCATTCCTGAGAAAATTGTAGAATTCCGTGTTTAGGGGCCGATTTGGCCGTAGGATCCGAGGGTCGTAGGGCTGTAAGGTCCTTTGGGGCTAGAATAGCCAAGTTACCGGGAGTAAGTCCCATTAAATTATTGAAAAGAAATGTTCTCGATGGTTAAAATACGTGAGTGTCTAACATGGTTATTTTTAGGCAGTCAGAAACTAATACCACCAATTATAGTCATCTAATAATTTTTTGAGGCCTAAAATTACCCCCCTGAACCGAAAATTGAACCAATTTTCCGCGGAGCGTTCCAAAGAATGGCTTGCTTTTTGGGCAGGCAATTCGGCCATCAAGCCGAGCATTAAATGGAAGCTTATAATGTCCCAAAGCCTGAGAATTTTCAAGATACGTTTAAAATGAGTATGGGTAGTACACTAGGTTATAGGTAAATGCTTTGGCAGGGTTTCCGAGTTCTGAAGGGAGGGGGGAGGGGTAAATATGATAATTAATCCCGTTTTCTTGTAAAATTGAACCAATGTCATCGTTCACACACGTTCAGATCAATTCCTTAGCATTATCATACGCAAAATCGAAATTTCACTTCAGAGAGCCAATATCGTTGCGCCCCCGACGTAAGGGCGTATCTTTATTCCTGCATGCGCCCCGGAAACCATAGTGCGATACGGGAGACAGAGCTCAAGTGGGAATCGAGATACGCCTTAACGTCAAGAGGAGCGACGATATATTGAATCCATCAATCGATTATTTTCGATTTCAATCAGAAAATTGATGGTACTTTTGGGCTGAAATAGAGTTCTTATCGATTCACGAGATAATGAATTGTGATTTCGGGTTCAACGAACGTCCCTAAAATTACATAAGAACGGAGGTGAAGGCGTTTTTACCTTCCAAGCACTCGCCACTTTCCCTTACGACGCGCGGCGCATCGGCGTCACGTTGATTCCAGGGGGGTCCGTCTCCTTATTGAACCTACCTACCAGTCTTTTCTCAATTATGTGTAGCAATGGCGGTGGAGGTATTCCAGTAATGGGCCTGTTGCAAACTTTTGCTAGACCAAAAATAAGAGTTGTTTCTTGTAGATAATGCCTCAAAAATCACGATGAGCGCATCGGCAAAGTCTGAAATGCACTCATAACTTCACAATCTGCGTAAGAAATTTGCGTTTTTTTAAGCTTCCCGCTTCAAAAACGATACTACGGCATAGGTGAACATTTTGTTAGAGGAATCGCTCCGTCGTCGGCGATATTCATCATGGCCGACGCTTGCACGCAATTCCGCGCGTAATGCAAGGAGAGTTCAAGGTCAATCAATTCGGGCGTGGAAAATATGAACGTTAACACACCGATTGTTATCTGGTCTAATCCAGTTCAGGTGTTATCTCGTCCCATCAAACGTGTTTTGGCGGATTAGCGTCGGCTATGATGATTATTGCCGACGATGGAACGACTCCTCTTACAAAATGTTCACCTGTGCCGTAGTATCGTTTTTGAAGCGGGAAGCTCAAAAAACCGCAAATTTCTTACGCAGATTGTAAAGTTATGAGTGCATTTCAGAGTTTGCCGATGCGCTCATCGTGATTTTTGAGGCATTATCTATAAGAAACAACTCTTAGTTTTGCTTTAGCAAAAGTTTGCAACAGGCCCGTTATTGAAATGCATAATTAGAGCAAGGTACGTTGCCTGAACACAGGGAATTTTAAGAGGCCCAAAGGTCTTACTCATTATGTTATGGTTTTTTTTTTTTTTTTTTTTTTTTTTTTTTTTTTCAGTGCTGGCATTCGGATGGATGTAGGATACTACATGAATACTACGTAAAATCGACAAATTGGCGTTTATTAGTCATTTTTTCTGGTAGAAAGAAGAAATGTTTTGCTTTTTGGAGGCGTGATTGAGAAATAAATAATTAACTTTTCACAGTTTATATTTACTGAGGCATTATGTTTTTTTTCACGTCAATTCACATAATAATATACGAAGGGGTTCGGTACGTCCCCTGGCCGTTACGCAGCCCAATCTTCTGTGACCCTCACTAGGCGCCCTCGCGTTCTCTAACGCCCGCTTTCCGGGCCTCCGTGAGTTATTGATCCAAATAGAGCGGGTACCTCGGAACATTCCGTAGGCATAAATGGATATTTGGAAAGAGATTAATTCAAATGCCGAGCATGTTTATTTAATAATATAGTGCACCAGAGGTTATGGAAAATCTAAAAAGAACTCAGCTGATATAAGACGTATTAATTTTTGCTCTCAAGGGATTGCCATTTCTCATTCTACTATCATATAGCCGACGAAATCATGAAAATCGGTCCCGTAGATCTTTCAAATCAACTTTAATAAAAAATGAAAATTTACATTCATTAAATGGAAAAATTCACAACTGTATCGTATCGAAAAACAGGGTCATGCCTATTTCTAATGTAGGTTTGAATAGAGCGGGCTCACATCGGTACTATCTCCTGTCGAAGGCCGGAGAAATCATGAAAATTGACATAGAATAGTAGGACGAACTGTGACAAAAAATGAAAATTAAGGGGGTCAGAGAGCTTAAAGTATACCTAATGATAAAAGCTTAGCGTAATATCTGAATGATCACACTTTGTTTTGAATTTTTCATACCTTTATTACCTATACTTTCATCATACCTTCAGTATCTTGTAAAACCTACATTGTTCGGCCCGTGTCACATGTTGAGCGTTTTTATCACAAAAAGCTCCACCAAGTTTGTAGGCGGTTCTCTTCACCTCCTTCGTAGAGATCGAGTTTCTAAGAAAGAATCCGGCATTCTGTCAAAGCTTCTTGGATCTAGGGTATACTGCAAATCATTTGATAAGAGAAGCTGCATTTGCTCTTAAAAAATTATCCTTTTTATTGAACGCAAAATTTAATTCTGAGCTGGCTGCAAATCACAAGGAAAGAAAACTTACTAAAAAAAATCCAAATGGCAACCCAGGTGCTGGAAATGATGGATCGAAATTACCGCCTGAAAATAATTGGATAAAAGAATAAAACTTCAACTCAACACTTCACCACAATGAAACCCCTGAGTTTAATCGCATTCCCTCCACCCCCTGCCCTTTTATCAACTACCGTTTTCCCCTCATCTTAACCGCGGGCTCTTTGCACTCGCATTATTTTTGCACCTTCAGATGATTTTCTTTCCTATTATTTTCCTAACCGAAGAAAGTCGAGAGAGAAAGGGAAAACTCGAGAAAAACGATCTCATGTGCAGGAACAGTTAGTCTTAGACTCTCAACTGAGTACTAGCCGTTTTGGGCGCGCTGTGCAAGTCCGTCAGAACTAGCCAAGGGGCTGTGGCCCCGGGACCCCTGGTGCTGACATTCGGCTCGCTCCGCGAGCCATTTTTCTCAGCAGTTGCACATTTGATATCTATGATGTATACATTTTGGAGACTCTCAGGAAAAACTGATTTTGTCCAAGAATCCTGTTACCGGAGCGAGTCATCATTTGCACATTAATAAACATATGGAGATGAAGCAATGATGGGGGTCGATCATTCCTTCAACAACGCATTTGACTGGTGGAGTAAAGTGACAACCGTGGATCTCCTCCCGTGATTTGACTCGCTGACGTAGGTACCTAGCAGAAGTTCATCTTGACTTCTTAAGAAGATTATCGGTGACTTAATGGGTCTAAAAAGCTCAATGATAGCATAGTCGAAGTTCCGAATCACCTTGAGCCCACTTGTATTTTTTTCCTATACATACATACATATGTATATTGAATGTGGTGCCGCTTCGACATCTGCCCCGGTGGCTGGGCTCACAAGCAGCGTTGCCAGGTCTGACCCTGACAGCATCTGTGTCCATTTACAATTATTCTTTTAAAATATCTTTCCTTTGAATAGGTACATTTGATGCTTCAAACGTAACCAATTAGTTTTAATAAAAATTCCGGCTAAATCATGGGTTTTACCAGCAAGGCATATGCCTCTCGCACCTCCAAGACTCTACTGATGCCAGATAAGTTGCTTTTTCAACACTTTCCCGATTTAGACCCATGTAAAATATTCACGTATGTCGCACAATCTAGTAATCCTACCGGACTCGAATAAAACGTGGGGGGAAGAGAGGCGGGGAAGGGACACTTACCTACCCTGTAGTGAAATTGAAAATGCTGGAATCGACTGAAAGGTGGAATCCTTCCACTCTTATATTTCATACCGAAATGTACCGTTCAAGGAAAGTTTTGTACCCTCACAATAGGGGAGCTATGGGGGGTCAAAAATGGGGGGGGGGGTTGGAGAAATATTTTCGAAATAACGGCTTACATACCTACTCGAAAACCCTCAGGGTGTATACTAAGAGTTTTGTACCGAAATAAACCGTCGAAAAAACCGCATTTTTTTTTACCGTAAGGCCTCTCCCAGGGGGGAAGGGGGTACCCCCAGCCACGGCCCTCTGCCCGTGGCAGCATTGAACGGACCGTTTCTGTGTCCCGCGTGATTAATTCAGAATGTTTCTTTACACCTTTTAATAGTACTAGTTTAGTACCGAAATGTACCGTTAAAAAAGTTTTGTACTCTCAACGGGGAGGTCAAAAGTGCTGGGAGGTGGGGTTGGGGAAATATTTTGGAGGAAATGGACCTAGGTATTCTAAAACCGACAGAATGTATACTAAGAGTTTATTACCGAAATGTTCCGTCGGTCCTTTTAAATACCATTATACCATTTTACTGTTATTATACTAGTAGCCGACCGTCCTGAATCTTCTAGTCCACCCTGCATGTACCTATGTATACAAATCGGGAGTAATGTTGGCACCTAGAATAAAATTTCGATTACGTAGCATGGTATCAACGATCATGGTGTCAACAAACAGTTTTTCTAAGTGTTTGTTGACACCATGATCATCCAAAAATCAATAATTCTGACTCCTATGAAAGATGACCATGGTGTCAACGATCACGGTGTCAACGAAACTTAAAACTTCCATCCATCACATATCTTGCAAATTTCGAGTCTTATTTTTCTTGTGTTATTTACTCTAGCCTTACGTAACCTAACCTAAACTTACCCTAATTTACCAAACCTAACCTAACCCCACTTCACTGAACCAAACTTTCCTCGATCTTACCCTACTTAACCTTACCTGTCCTAACCTAACCTACTCGAACTAAACGTGACAAAAACCTCTCCTGTAGACTTAATTTTTTAATTTTGCTTTTGAGGAAGACATATTTTTATTTGTTGACACCGTGATCGTTGACACCATACTCAGGGCCCATTTTCCCGTTTTACTGCCTGAGTAAGAAGTCACCAATCGTTGACCTCATGATCAGATTTTTGGTTTGTTGACATCATGACCGTTGACACCATGCAACGATACCAACATTTCCCCCTGGAAAAAATGAATGTTGTTTTTGTTAAGCCCGCCTTTTTTCCATCCATGTTTGAACGAGTCTATTGTGTAGGTACAGTCTCTGCCGTCGTCTTTGAAGCTCTGTGCTAGTCTCCGCTGTCCTATGTTTTTTATAAGAATAAAGTGTCTTTTCATTGTCCGAAACATTTTTTTCCTTTCTCCGCGTCTCAGCGGAAAGTCCGATATAACATTGGCGACGAGGATATTCGGTTTAAGTCGTTCACAGTGGTCTTTCGTCAATCGCGTGTGTCAGTGCTCGTCACACCCCAATCCGCTTTCGTCACGAGTTCGTCTCAAGTTAAAGAACAATCAACACCCGTACACAGTTAATATATCATAAACATAACAAAAATACATTATTAGTCTAATAAACAAAAACATTTCCGTCTTTTCATCAATTCATCCGTTTGTAGTTCTCAAGATGTGTCAACCCAGATAACATCGAACGTTTCAGCAACGTGGAAATCAACGTAGACCTTGAAACATTCCGGGAACGTATAGGTACAATATCTACGTTGTAATCAACATGGAAGAACAGGGGTGCTCCGAGGACGTCTCACTGGCGATGTAACAGGAACGTGGAAAGGAACGTTGCTCTGTAAACCTAACCTAAAAAGTTAAAATCGCACTTACGCCGTTTCGCTGTCTACGTTTTCGGGACGTAGAATTCAACGTAGTCCAAAACATGTTGTACTAGAAAAGGCGGCACAGGCAGGACACAGGCCAGGAGCGCCCACTAAGTGGCGCTGCATTTCGCGGCGCAGATTACTCAAAAAGTCTGCAGCGCATGCGCAGCCCATGTCGGCACCAAGCAAGTTCCTGGAATCAGTCTGATCAGGAAAGGTTACAACTGTTCGAGAGTGTCCACCATTGTTATCTTGATATTGGCGTACCAAGTGATTTTCGCAGTTTAATGTTGTGCTTGAAGTGATGCTTATACCTCCGTGTTTTACATACATAAAAGTTCGTTAATTATCTGGTTTGCACATACTTGTCTGTTTCTGATTCTGTATTCTCAAGTCAATTTCCACAATTTTAACCCGTAGACCTCACGTTCTACTCTAAAACTGAAAGTGCTTATTCCTCCTCTGGTACGTACACCTAAGTAAATGAAAGTCGTGCCTATGAAGTGAATGATTGTATTTTAATTACCTAATCGTCATTTATCGCAAATAAGTAGATAATTAACGAATTTTCTAATCGTAAACACGTCAGGAGGGAAAGAGACGCACAAACTGTGAAAAGCCCAAAAATGAATGCCACACTATGTTATGCAAATAAAATGGATTCTAATGTTAGGTACTGGACGTTCGTGTGTAGTCACTGCCACGTTCCCTGCAATGTAGACACTGCAACGTTCCTGCGACGTGGACACTGAAACGTTCCTGTAAACGTTGTTGCTGACAACGTTTACACGGGAACGTTCCGGAAATGGTACTTAATACATGGACATCCACGTAGAATTACACGTTCCGGTACACGTTGCTTTCCACGTAGAAGGTTTCACGAGAAACGTGGAATTCTACGTTGTTGTCAACGTTGAAATTGTTATCTGGAAAGGTGCAAGGGTGCCTAACCTCAAGAATGGGACGGAGAAGAAAGAAACGTGCTTCAAGATTGAGTGATTCTTCAGAACTTGATCTCCTACAGATATTTGGAGTCCCCACATCCAATGATTTTGATGATGTTTTAGGTATCATTCCCGTAAGTCCAACTTCAACCATGTCTAACCTGAAATTAAGTGCCTTTGATTCTAAGCGAGAGAACATCGTCGATTTCCTAGACCGATTAGAATCCTGCTTCAAGGTTTGCAAAATCGCAGAAGAAGAAAAAGTCGATCACTTGATTCTACAATTAACTCCAGAACAGTTTCAAGTATTAAAAAACCGTCTGGCACCGAAAGCAGTTAAAGACGCGTCCTTCAGTGATTGTGTTATAAATCTCAAAGAACATTACAGTCCGACAACTAGCGTTATTGCTGAAACATTTAAATTTCACTCACGTAAACAGATTCAAGGTGAAAAGCTTTCTGATTTCATTGCTGAATTGAAAAATATGTCCCTCAAGTGTGACTTCGATACTCATCGAGATAGAGCTCTTCGAGACCAATTAGTCATTGGTCTGAATG